AGCCGCCCTCGGCCGTGCCGCCCGCCGCCCCTGCCGCCCACGGCTGCGCCGCCCAGCGCGGTATTAGGGGGCTTCGTGACGCCGCTTCATGTCGGCATTCGGCCGGCTCTATACCGCGGCAGACGCCCTGGCTGGAAGGACATTGCCGTCATTGCTGGCGCGCCGTTACGGGCTGCCGCGGGCTCGGCGGCGGTCTGCTCTGCTCCCTCGGCGAGCGTGCACTCGCAGCGGCGCTTCTCCCCCAGCGGTGGCCCTTCTCAGATCGGCTGGACGGCCGATCGTGCCCCGCAGCCGCTCCGACCACTACGAGTGCCAGCCCCGCATGCCGCACGCGTGGGAAGTCGGCTCGCAGGGGCCAATTTTCTGGGGGCGGGGCGGCCGCCAGCGGGGGCTGAGGCGGTGGGCAGTAAAAGGTAGGTCAATACGCGGCCGCCGGCGACGGCTAGTTACGGCCAGATAAAGAAGCCGGCTGACGTCTGCAACTCCCCACAGTGAGCCGTTCGCCTCTGAGTGCAGGCGTGCCACCGTGGGGGCAGTTTATGTCTGCGCGAGAAATAATCGTGGGGGAATATAGCCGTTTGTCTCGTGTGTATTTTGAATGCAATTTTAAATCAGATCCGGCGCAAAACAACTGAAAAAGAAACATTTGTTTTTAACACTGACAAAATATTAGCCGCTTTTTTTAACCGGCCGCCGACAGTATCACTGACTGGTATCCCCTGTGTATCGTTCGACAACCCATCTAATGCATTCTGAACTTAGAAATTTATGTAATCACAAATAAGCTGCCGTTTCGAACACTTTGAGCTTTTTATTCGGTGATGAATCAAGTTGAGAAACGCGAGAAGCCCAAAGTAGTTTGAACTTATTTCAAAGTATGTTACTTTAGAAGTCGCGACGATAAATCTCAGAGACTTGAAGGGTGTACTTCAAGAAGGCCAGCGATCTGGCTCTGTCGTGCTGCGTCATTTCCAAAGATAAATTTATGATGCTTTGTGGCTCCGTAGGGGCGAGCAGGTACTCCCTTCGCGGATAAATATCAGCCCATGAAAAGGCACTCGTTATGACACATTCACATTTGGTGTTTTGTTCGCACTAACCAGCAGACGATCAGGTGAATATTGTCTCCAATCCATTCCCCTCCCGTTTACCCCGTCGTAAACCGTGTCAATCCATTATGTGAACCCTATTATTGCCCACTTCCCACCCGCAATAACATGAGCACCCTTTCGACCCGCGTGTGCCGCCGACTGGGAGCAGGTTCCCAATCACAGAAGCAGCACCATTTCCATAATGTCAGCCGCCAACGCGCCCCGCTGAAAACAAACAGCCTTCCGAGGATCCGCCAGGGTATTTTTCGCGCCGTCAAAACGGCTACCATGTCGCCCCCCGGAGTGGGGAGCTCTCACAATCAGCCGCCAAGACGGCGGTGCGGCCGCCCGCCGCGCGCCGCCGTCCGACCGCCCGGTATGTGGCCGGGCGGCGGCGGCGGCGGCGGCGGCGGCGGCGGCGGGGGCGGCTGCCGCCACTGATACTCCCCAGCAGGTGGCAGGTGACTTTACCCATCGTAACGTCCTCACGATCTCCCGCCGTTACAGACGGACGACTACGACTGTAGGAACGGGTCAAGTTTTGGCGCGAACAGGCCCAGGATTTCAAAAATGCACATGCCTTGCCAAAATTTGAATTAACAGCTAGATAGGTGAAAAGTGTTGCAACGAATGATGCAAATGTGTGACTCTTATAGATGTGTCATATAGTGGGTTATGACTTATGAGGGGTTATTGGTTATAATTGCACAGTCCATAAAAAAGAATAGTTACATGATGAAATTATGGCTATTGGCCTTTTGCCATTTTGCCCAACGTCGGCTGTTTCTTTGATGTCTCACTTCTGCTCTTCTTCAAGATAAGAACATCGTATCGGAAAAAGTGCGCGACAGTCGTTCTTACTCATATCGATAAGATACATATTTGAAGTGCTGGAAGTGGCCTATACCACAGGTCTCAGGAAGTGTTCTGAAGCGCAGAAGTTTGAAGAGGGAGAGCAAAGTTTCTTCCTCCGAATTCCTGGAACTACGCTCGGGAGGAGCGACAAACACCGAACACGCTTGTTTTGTGGACCGGAATTCCAATGAAGGTGCAAGGAGTTACAAGACTGGGGTCATGCCCTTTACGTCGTTCGAACTGTGTCAACAAGGCCGATTTAGAGACATTTGTTACCACACAGGCATTGGTGACTATTTTAGAATGGTTTGAAAGGCCTTGAACGAATGAGTTCGTAACTTCTTTCACCTTTCCTATACCAAACATTTGTATTGTGCATGGATCTCATAAAATGGGTCTGGGATCTGATCCTACGGGATCATGATCCAACCCCTTCAATTTGTCGTGATTATTTTTGAAATCATAGGTCTGAATGAACATTATATGTATCGAGAGACCTTTTTTAAATAATGAATCCTATCATTATTTTTGCCGAGACTGAAACCGTGATTTGGCGTTTGGGAGAACTCGTGTTGGCGTTCCGTTTAACCATCCAATGTGATTACAGTTCACAACTCATTGCTGTGACACTAATGGCATGAAATATCCATGTATGTATTATGGGTTGACAGGTTGCCTGTTGTGTGATCCACATAGACACTTCCTTCTGTGGCTTGTCGTCAGATCCTTAATGATTATAGATAAAATACATCTACCAATACAGTACATATCAATAAATACAATGCATATGTTTATAATTTAAAAGGATCTGACGACAAGCCAAAGAAAGGAGCTATGATCTATGTGGATGACACAACAGTCAACCTGTGAAACCAGTATAACCATCCGCTGTGATGAGTGCGTGTTCGGATCTGCGTACCAGACGTTCCCGAGGACAGCCAGCCGTCGATCCACTTGAGCGCGTGTTTGTGCGGCCGGGTGGGCGGCGTAACGGCCTGTAATAGCCACAAGACTCCACACTCCCTGATTTATGCCCTGTAATTGGCAGGACACACTAATTTGGACAGTGCTGCCGCCCAGACCTGCCGCCGAGTACCAGTGACGTCATCAAGGCACTGGCGGCCGCCGCAGTGAGGAGAGTAGCATCTTGGCTGGGTTACTGGGACACCGTCGAGTCTGAGGAGCTGACGATAACTGGTGGTGACTCATGTGGGGGTGGATGATGTATTCTTACCGGGTCAGGGTCGCCGAGCCGTCCGGTGTAGGTATTGCCGTTAGCTTGGTGTTGGAAACGGATTACCCGCCATTACAAATGATTTCTACATTTTATTTCCCAGCCTCGTTTCCCTTCTGTTTCTGGGGTGTATTTAGTCACATGTCATTTTCGCAACGGGTGATGATAAACGCTGCCCTTCCCCATCGACCATATCTGGTCAGGCGTCTCCCCCGGAAGGCGGCTGGTGGCCCACTCGAAGTGCGGGAGGGGGCGATTGGGGTGGGGGATGGCTGGGGACCCCCGCACTCCCCGTCACTTCCGTCTGGTGGTATCCCACTCCCCTCCCCTCCCCTCCCCACGATTGTCATCGGCCCGTCCCCCGCCTGACCGGCGCGTGTCCAGATGGCTGTGGTTTTGTATTCTTTTGACCCCAGATGACGACTTCCCACCGCCGCGCGGGCCCGGATGTGATCATTGGATATCGCCTTCTCGTATGACATTTGCAGGAGCGGATGTTTGTTGAGGTGAATCTTGTAATGACTCGGAAATGACTGTGTTTATTGGCTTGTCAGTGGATAAATTTGCTTAAATATGCACAATAACGTAAACCTTGTTTTGCCTGTTATCAAAGGAGAACATATTGAATTTCGTTGGTATTGGCGAATTGCTCCTTCATATCGTTTGGCAGACAAAGCTTTATCCGCAGATTCAACGTTGTTTAGTCGTTTTATGGCGCTGAATTCGTCTTAACTGCGCTTTGAAGTTTGAACGGCGATTGTCAGACTGTGTAATCGTATGTTACACATACTCAAAGCCATTTAAACAGCATTTGTATTCATAAAACATACATGTTCGACGGTGATAAAAGTCATCGCGTCATCCAAAAATCATACATAAGCAGGCCCACGAATTTAAAACACACAGATTAACATGCAGGCACTTAAATCGTGCGATCACGGTATGAAACGCCGCTTTATGCATTATCATATTACTTACCAAAGCAAGAATCAAACCGTTGATTAACTATTGCAACCGATCTACCGCGGACAAATACAACCCATTGCATGCATTCGATATCATAATGACGCTGACAAGTGACAACAAATTCTTGATTCAAAATTACACATGCAATAAATAAGCCCCGAAAGCGATTTGCCCCGCACAGCCATTCATTCACCAGCCGGCCGGCAGAAGCCGCTGAACGGTTTCTGATGTTGCGACTGCCGCACCACTGCCTCCGCCGTCTACATTGCCAGAATGTCCACGATCCGAAACCCGGTGCGTTTGCGGCTCGGCCGGGCGGCGGTGCTCTCCCGAGAGGAGGCGATCCTGACGGCGCCGCCCACCCTCAGGTCCTCCGGCTGGTCCTGGCCGGTGGACGAGGGACTGACGGGCCACGAGTGGACGTGTGCCGCTGTCCACCAGTGGTCGCCGGCCAGCGGCGAGCGCGCTACCTGGACGGGACTCGCCGGCGGAGAGGTCGCCTCGCCCGCCGGACTGGAGGGCGCCTCGCTGCCCGATGTCTCCCCGGCCGAGTGAGCCGGCTCGTCACGAGGCGCTAGGCGCGCCGGTCGCTCTTCGACCGAAGGCACGTAGGTGCGGGTGCACGAGGCGCGGTGCATGGCCCGCGTCCGCGCCTGGCAGAAGCCCTTGCCGCAGCGCTCACACTTGAACGGCTTCTCCTTGAGGTGGATGTAGCTGTGGTCTCTGAGGTGGTCCTGCCGGCGGAACGCCTTGCCGCAGACGTCACACGGGAACGGCCGCTCGTCCGTGTGAGTCCGCTCGTGGATCAGCAGGTTGTAGCTCTTGCTGAACTCGCGCTGGCAGTACTGGCAGATGTAGCGCTTGCGGGGCCGACTGGGGCGCGCCGAAAGCGGCGGCGGCCTCACCACGTTGTTGGAGAGGTAGCTGAGCAGCCAGGGCTGGTGCGCTGTCAGCAGCGGGGGCAGCATGTCGGGCGGCAGCGGCTGCATCTTCGGGAGCTGTCTCACCGGTCAGGAGTTCGTCAGTTCGCGTCACAGCCCGGCCGGGTCCACCAACTGAATGCGGGCCCACCGTGGGAGACCGGCGGAGCGCGGTAGCCGCGCGGGCGGCCCCTGACCACGCCCCTCGCCGCTGATTGGCCGAGCGGCGGCCGGGGCCCGCCCACCTGGGTCTGACTGGTGCCGCCGGCGGTGGACGACTCAGTCCACAGCGGACCCCTTCACCTGGTGAATTACACGAGTGGCGCAGATTGGGGTCTGTAGACTGCCCTGCTCTTCCTGTTTGCATATATCGACAGATTACGGTGACCTAATAATAATCCTAATAATCCAAATACTAAAGTACATAGAACTGTAAATAAATACAATTCGCAACCAGCTGAGATTCCTCTGGAACTGGAACGAGTTGAACTGATTACTATTAATGCCTCTTGAAAACAGGAATGTCCCTTTATTTCGTCAAATTCATTTCGATTTTATCAATAGGTGCTCCGTACTCTCACGAGACCATTCCATTTCAAATATTATAATTGAATCACTTCCAGGAATTGCATGATAAAAGATAACGTTATTTGTAGCGGGAAAATGTTTATGTTCGACCTTCTGACATCAATGCATTTACACATCAGTAAACCACAGATCCGCTCAGCGATGGAGTAACGACCGGGAGGAGCTCAGTGGGGTCACTCAGGGCCGTTTCCCAACAGGTCCTTTCCCAGCCGAGTTGCAACAGAGACAAGCGAGAGAGGGTGGAGTAAGGCAATGAAAACGCAAGGACTTGGAGGCGTATAAGCCTCACGAGGAGACATCGGTGGATAACCTCCCTTTGGTGTTGTCACATGCCTGAGGGAAGCGGATTATCTTTCGGGTGCTTATCTAAGGCGCTTATCTTTCACTGCTGGATCAGACATATAAAGGTTAATATTTTGTCGCAATCTCTTGAAAGGACAAGAGGAATACACATGTTGTTTTGATGCTTCTACTCTCTATTATTGTTCATGTGAGATATCGTATTCCTCCGCATTGAAATACCTATTCATTTTGCTGCACATAGAATGTCCATTGAATGTGTTAAAAAAACTGAATTCCGCGTCATGTACCGCGAAGTTCGAAAATTATTAGCGGCTTAGCGCGAGATGAAATCACAGCAATAATGTTAATTGTTGAGCGCTGGCAGCCTTATACGAATGTATGCTCTATGCACCTTCCTCGCATTTTCTTTCACAATCGCTGATAAGGGGTTCTTTTATCTCACTTAGATTATTTCAGAGTTACGGGGTGAAAGGATAAAGATGAGACACTCGACTAAAACGACCATCACCACTGGTGCGCCGCACTGGCTAAGCACTTCCCGTTTGGATTGAAGCATCCCTGTGTTACAGAATATGTAGCCGCCTAAACGGTAACCTGGGAGAGATGCGGCCCTTTTGGGATTTGTGCACCCCTGAAAATTAGTGAGGTAATAGACGAGCCGTAGGTATAAGAAGATGCGTGAACAATATGAATGGTTTTGGCACTAAAGGTAGTGGACGTGTGCAAGACACGCGCATCGGCACTTTGCTTCTGAATGCATCTGGTGTTTCTTGATTTATCTAGCTTTGAGATGCTGTATCTAACGAAACTTTTAGGATCGTTGGCTGTTTAAGATCCAGAAAGAGTTAATCATTCACCATTTAGAACGATCAAAAACACTTCAGATGCTACGTGAAATAAGCATTGTTTGCTTTTAAACAATGATCCACACAAAGATTCGGCTGAGCTATTATAAAAGCTCGTTGTGCTTGTGCTGACCTGAGGTTCCACGTGCAAACTGCACCCTGTATCATGTATGCCAGCTAACAAAATTTATCGAAACGCTACGACCGCTTATGATCACACCACCACATATCAGGCAAATATCTCGACAATGGTGCTACTGTCTGCAGTGGACACATCGGAGAGTTGCTATCGCACCTGCAAACGACTTCAAAGGAGGCCGCTGCAGCCAACAGGTAGCCGAGGTAGCCTATCGGACTTCTCTGAGAAGTCCGATAGTATTGTCACGGATGCTCTAGTCACGAATGCTTGGACCTTTCTGTCATTGATTATTTCATTTATTTTCATTATCATATGTTTCATTTATTTCATTTATCATCAAAATCATTTCAGTAATTTTTCGATGAATCCTTGCACTTTGGTCCTTGGTATTTTGATTGATAATTGGTGGCTTATAACCCGCGACCGCCTGACCCCTCCGTTTTTCTTGAATAACTCATGAACCACTTTCGCTATCTACTTGAAATTTGGCATACCTTCTCCCCCATCAATTTGACGTCTCCTGTGCAATTTTTAAGAAAAAATTTCCAAATTTTTTTGAGATATATCGATTTTAGTGATGTAACTACATGGCGTTTTTAGTCAAAAAGTGGTAAATGTTTAAAAAATCGCCAAAAATCAGGGTTTGAAGCAATTTGCAAATTAAGGACATCAAAAGACGCAGCTCAACGAGTTCTTTAAAATGGCTATCTCGGATTTTCCATAAAATGCGTTTTTCACCCCTAAAAATTCAAAAAACTATATTTTTTGGAAAACAGCTAATAAAATCCAAAATTTTGGGAATTTCCAAAAAAAACGGAATATATGTTGTAGAGCTCTATTAGAACATTAGATGCCCCAAATTTCAACTTTCTATCTTGATTTTTGACCCCCAAATTGTAAAAAATAGCTGCAACATGCATAGGGCATGGTGACGTCATAAGCATTTTCGTGAATTAGAGGCACTTCTGAACATCGCATGTGAAAACAAATGGCACCACTAGATTCCTGGGACAAAGCTCGTCTAGAAAAGTGCATTTTTATGTCAAAAATAAAAAGTTGAAAAATTGACCTTTTTTCTTAGCCCTCGTTTAGTTATGTATAGTATAAACGATTTTTTATGCTTTCAATGCACACTTATCACCAGCACAGTGACTTGGGGTCACATATAACCATTACCATCGGATTCGGCGTGAAAAATAAGCCACAAAACATGTGTCGCACGCCCATGTAGCAGAAAGTGAAAACCGTGACCTTTCGTGACCTGACCTGACCTTGACCTGTACCTAGTATGACCCCTATACGCACATGGTACCTTCACTAGGCCTTTGAGGTCATTTTTGGTGAGTTTCGAGCAGCAGCTATCGATTCCGCTGTCCGTAAGCCGATTCATGCAAAACCCCTGAATTTGACCTTTGACCTGACCTTGACCCGAAAGTTGACCTCAATCTTAAAATCTTAAGAGTGCTTTGGGAAGGTCTCGTAGAGACCTTTCGAACGCCGCCTCGCGGGGCTCGATACGACCATTGGTTCTCGAGATAACAGGGGGGGGGGGGGTCGGATCCGACCCCCCCCCCCAGGCTGTCGTGGGTACGGAAATAGCCCAGGCGGTGCCGGGTTAAATTACACTAAATATGTGCTTTCTGATTTCTGATCTATAGGATAATGGAATAATGCTTATATATGAGGGCGTCCCCGAGAGGGCAACGCGCGCCGTCGCCGCGGGCCCGGCGGTGATCGAGTTGCCCCGAGTCCGCCTGGCGGTGGCCAGGCGGCAGTTTCCCTACCGAGCTGCCGCAGCTTGGAACGGCTTGCCGCGGGAGGTGACGGCGACCGCCTCAAGGCGACAGCTGATGGAGCATTGTAAAGTGCAGCATTGATTGACGCAAACTTTGACTTATACTCTTTTATTCTTTGCATGTTTGTGCCTATAGTATATATGTGTGTACCTATGTGTTTTTTAGCATAGTTTTTTTTAGCAATGTGATATTTACATGTACTGACTGGGCCGTAATAGCCACTCTGTTGGAAAAGCCCTAATAAACGAATACGAATACGAATACGAATACGAATATGTAGTATGACTTGCGCTTTGCAGCCAGGCCTATAGAGGTCAATAAATTAATTTAATCAGGGACTAAATTCCTACATTTGGATAAAGGATAAAACCAAATGAGTTTAGACACCATTTGGCCCACTTGAGAACATATCCACGCTATCATACACGTATACATATTTTTAAGAAGTACTGCAACATATGATGTTTGATTATTCAATTGATGATCTTAACACTTGGCATAATCTGGCAGACTCATATACTTACACCCAACCAATACAAATTTCAATACCTTCCACAGTTTCAGCTTCATCCATACTCCCTAGCAAGAACATTAAAAAGTTTCGTATTAAGTCGGAACTTTTATTTTTAAGGAACAAATACACCAGTATAACGCCTTTTGGGGCGACTAACGGAGCGAGCGAGAGGGTGGGCCTTGCACGTGCGAAATTTCGAGGGGGTACCTCCAACTGACTTGTGCACGGCACCTTACCAACCGGTCTCTAGCGATGTGCCAAATTTGAGCACAATCGGCCCAGCCGTTCTCGAGATCTGGAAGCGGCACCCTGCACGTGCGCACGTGCAAAATGGGTCCCAATTGACTTGTGCACGGCACCCTACTAACTGGTCCCTAACTGTGTACCAAATTTGAGCGCCATCGGTCCAGCCGTTCTCGAGGTCTGGAAACGACCCCTGCACGTGCGCACGTGCAGCAGCACCCCAACTCTGGCACATGGATATGCAGTGCCTAGTGGGTGCCTACCTACATGCCAACTTTCAGCGCAATCGGCCAAGTAGTTACCGAGATATTGCAACAATTACAAAACTGACACCTCTTCGTTTTGCACGTGGCACGTGCATAATGAGTCACCCACATGCATCGGGAATAGTCCAATACTTGGTAGAAGGAATGAAGCTACCCTACAAAATTTACCGCATGTAAATCGGTCAAGTGGTTGCTGAGATATAAGCCTCGCAAAAGCGTCTGCACGGCCGGCCGGCCGGCCGGCCGGCCGCTCATACTCAGAAATTTCCGTTATTCTACGTAAGACTCCGCTCGCTTCGCTCGCTCCGTAAAAAAACCTATTGTTGTCTTACATAACTGCACTGATCGCTGTTCAATAGCATCATTATCCCTCGCGGGCCCGGGGGGGGGCGTTTTTCGCCCCCCCCTGGCGAATATTTGCGATAGCTCCCGAACGCTTAGGGATAGGAAAGCGAAACTTTCAGTACCTTTTCTCCCATCAATTTGACATCT